AAAGAATTTGAAATGTGTGCAGTCATCCTGGCTCTGAAGCACCAATACCTGCAGCTGCAGAAAGAGACAGGTTTGGACTTGGATGGGGTTAACCCGACTCATTTAATCTAGATTCAATCTGAACGAATTCGGTCTGTGTAAAAATAGGGTCACACAACTTGATCATAAATTAGAGTTAAAAATATACATGAACAGTACAATTGAACAGGTAATAATTCTACTTTTATAAACAGGCCCATGTTAGTAAGCCTCTCCTATTAAGCTGCAAAAATTAAAATGGAAGAAAAGTAACTTCCAGCCAGGAGGTTAACAGTAAATGTTAAAACAACCCAAAGCAAGGCAATAACAAGAGTGTCAGAAAAAAGTGAAAGTAAGAATGAAAGCAAACTTTTTCTGGCAAGGGAACTTATTAATGTAGGTCTACTTTCATGCCAAAATGACATTATAAGGCTGTGCGTTAATGACAGTACCATTGAGCACCAACTCACTCTCACAGTTGATGAATGAGGAGCGGTTGCTATGTGAAGCTACTGCCCACTTTGTTTTTGAAGACACCACTTCTACGACAATCCTTACCATTAACATTGATATGAATACCAACACTTCCACCACTGATGCCACCATGATCATCAACAGCAACAAGCTATGACTGATATACCATTATGACCAATAAAGCTTCAGGCCGTTAGTAAATGATTAAAAGCATATACATACTGAATGTTATATATTATTGCAGAAGAGGTTTAGTGGGAGCAGGCGGAGTAGGAATTGGTTTCCTGGTTGGAAGGAAGCACATTATTCCTGGTTTACATACCTGTTTGTATTTGTCTGAAAATCATCCATCCATGGCATTTGTGCATCTGGGAGACGGTGGGTACAAATTTCAACATGCGAGCACTTTGAATGCAAACACTAACGCATTTACCAAACTGCCAATTTAAAGTGATGTAAACGTCTACAAGTATTCTAGACAACAACCTGGATGTTAAAGAAGGAAATCCTTCCCAAACAGAGCAAACCCATGATTTAATGGAAAATAAATCAGATCTCATTCAAATAGGAAATTTGGCATTAGATGCTTTGGTCATAAAAGTAAAATACTGACACATTAGATATTCCAGATGTCAGACAGTAAACACCTGAAGTGAAAGGTAGGTCTGTTGTAATTGCTTCACCAATAAAGTTCTGTCACATAGTTCACCATCTCCTTGAAGGAGGAGAAAGGGTGGCTTTCTATTTTTTTTGTTTGATATTAAAAGAATTTACACGTGTGCATTCTGGAGCGAGGGGGAAAACCCGTTGTCATCCGTTCAACCTTTAAGTGAACACGTTCTGCAACACAGTTGTTGGAGCACTTTCCGCTGGCAAAGGCTGTTCTTTTTCACCAAGACGCAGAAACTTCCCTCGGCCCAAGACTCTTCCGTTGCTTTCCAGAGATCAGGATCAGAGAGAAGAGGTTGAAGTTTGGGGAGATGGGAGCAGAGGGACCAAGTAGGTGATTGTATCAGACAGGGTAGAAGAAGCCAGTTCAAGAAGATGACAGAAGCAATTTTTGGGGGTTCATCAGAAGTAATTGTGTCCAACAGGAAGCAAGTTTTCATATTTCAACAGCAAGTGATTTTTAGTCCATTTTTGGAGGGGGAAAAAAGATCACAGAAAGACATTAGAAAACAGCTTAAACATCATGAAAGTGAATCAGTACCACAGCTGAAAGAACTTTTTAATCACATTAAAGAAAGTAAAATAGGTAAAATAGCAATCTAGAAAAAAAAGGCATAAAATACACAAGCTGAAAAACCTACATTTGCAATTATTGTACAATGGACCAAGAAGTCCACATTACATTTCATTCAATACACTGGTGCTAATTTAATAGATTTGAATGGCTGTTATTTGTATTGCTACAGCTTAAAAGTTTAACTTTTGCCTACACTGACCATACCAGATCCACTAATGTGTGTTAAGATTTTAAACAAAGATTTGTTCTATATAAAAGGGAGCCCTGCATTGTTTAATGTTTAGGATCATTATAGCTTTTACACACAAGTAAAATCCTTTGCCAAGAATTCTGGACCACATGCCATGAACTAATAACAATACAGAATATTTATCTCCCCTTTTCCTTTATAAAGTTAAAAAAAACTGTACATCAGATTATGGTGCCTATAACATCAAAATGCCAGAAAGCACTTCACAGGAAATTATTATTTAATATGGTGACTGTATTCTCCAGCAAATGCAGCAGGCAATTTGCACAAAGCAATGTCCCACAATTGTCAATATATCTTGAGAATTGTTGGCCAGGGCACTGAAATTTCCCTCTCATTTCGAATATTGTCAACTAGGGAAATTGGGGGAAGGAGGAACGAGAAAGAAAAGGGAAGGAATGTAGGTTTCTAAATAAACAGATGTATATTTTTAGCTAAAGTTATGTGGCAAGTTTATAAACTGATCCATGCGGTAGTAACTGGCCATAGGTATGTCATCTTTCTCAGAATGTATTATCTGAAGAGGAAGAATGCCACTGTATAAAGACGTTTGTTGAAATTTAATAGGTTGCAGCACTATTCATATATATTCAGGAGATTTTCAACACTTTAGTGCTCTTTTTATCAACATCAATGTTTCTGGAGAAGGCATATTCTTATATTCTACCATATTCATATTAGGTTGGATAACTAACTAATGCCAAGTAGTTCCTCATTAGACAGACAAAGCAGTGACCATGATTACAGAACAAAGTTCCTGACATATGTGTTAAGTTCCTTAACATGCCATTTATTTTTTGAGACATTGAGACATTTTTTGAGACATTGATGTGTATAAATAGTCTGCTGCATTTCACCTACAAAATATACAGTCACTATACATTAGAGTAAATCCTGTGAAGATCTTTGGGATGTCCTCCTGACGTGAAAGGCACTGTACCAAATGTAAATCCACAGTTTTTTTTAACAACAGACTCTTCATGGGGAAAATATTAGAAGTTCAAAGCTGGAATTCTCCAGGACAGAAGACATTGTCCATCACACTTTGCATAGGATTTTGTCCATGAATGTATGGAAGTTCACATTGGTTTGAAGAAATCTCCAAGTTGAACTTACACAGATGGCTGCAAAAACACTGGCTTTATTATAACCAGAATCTACTACTAAGAAGTTGAAAGTGCAAAACAGCTTCCATGTGTTTATACTAAGTGTGTACAATTGATTATTGAGCAACTACATTATTTCACAGAAAGGTAATTGAAGTTTGATGCGGTATATTTACAGAAGCAGCTTGTAAAGGTTTTTTTAAAAAAATCATTCTTGTACCCCATATCAGAAAGTGACATCTATCTAGAGACAAATGATTCTTTTTCCAACAGTTAGCACAATGAATAAATGCTGATGAGGCTTTATAATCTCTTTAACCACTTGCGTTTAAGGTTAAACATTTCACAATGGTAGGAACATAAATAGGTCATTCGAACCATTAGGCCTGTTCTACCATTTAATTAGACCTTGTTAGATCTCTTTAGCCCGTTTCCTAATCTTTTCTCCCTAATACTCTAACTTCCTAAGTATTAGGCATATCCCTTTTTGACATCCCAATCAAATTTGCATCCACAATAATAATAATCCTCACATCTTCTAGACGTCCCAAAGCGCTTCACAGAATATACTGTAAAGTGAATTGACTGTATATTTGTGGGCGAACGCGGCAGCCAATTGCGCACAGCAATGTTCCACAAACAGTCGTGGATTGAAAATGACCAATTTATTATTGTTTTGATTTTTTTGGAGGGATTATTATTAGGCGTGTGGCAGTGTGTTCCACTTAATTTGTGTGAAGAAATATTTTCTGATCTCAGTTCTAATTTTAACACTGGTCTACTTGTTTTGGATCTCTCACCCAGTAGAGCAGCAGCCTTTATCCAGCTTGGCAATCTGTTCATTCTTAAACACCTCTTTACGTCCGGGGAATATAATAAAAAAAGAGTCAGCCCCTTCATTCCAGTTTTAATCCCAGGTGAAGCATAATGGGCCACTCCCCAGGTTTACTATGTATCCTTCCTAAGGCTGGGCACCCAAAACTGAACACGAAACTCCAAATGACTAATGCTATACATTAGGGATGGCCGACTCGACTATTTTACGCATGTGTAATGCGGTTCGCAAGTTAGCCATCTCTGCTATACATAACTATAGTAGCACTTCTTGCTTTCATATTCCCTATTTATAAAGCTCAGCAGCCCATCAGCCTTTCTAAAGGTAAGATCTTGGGGTGCAGGATGGAGAAAACATTTATTTGCAAATGTCAGGCAGGTTGGCTATTTTATGCCATTGAAGTCAGCTTGTGATTATTTGTATGCACAAACAATAGAAAACAGGAGAGTTCTCTATCAGTGGGGTGAGAAGAAATCAATTTAGTGAACGTTCCTGAGTTTCACAAGTGACATAATGAGCTGAAACCATTCTCCAAACAAAACTTAACAACACTGTATTTTTAATCAATGAGGAAGGGGTGACAGAACAAGTTTTGCTGTGAATTATATTTCCAACTGGTAATTCACAGGACAATATTCTGCGAGGGTAGAGTTACAGTATTGTTACAATGAAAAGAACAGTTTGCCATGTATGGTATTTGCCACATCTCTGTACCAGTTTCTTAATTGGGATTTTTTTTCATACCTGTTTTACATGTACCTCTTCCAACAGTACTAGTAACCAAGAGAAACAACTGTCCAATAGGTGAGCTCGCAACACTTACTGTGTGCAACTTCAATATCAGCTTGCACAAGGAAGGCAACAGGCAGCAGAACAGAACCTGCCCTGTCCAATTAGATAAACTAAATTGAACTTTCAACACACTATTCACTAATATTCTTAAGAGACTTTCAAATAAATAAGTGTTCCTCTCGCCAATATGAATGCTACCTCAGGAGCAAGTCTAACTGTAAAAAGGACTTGCTGTATTCACACAATTTCACATGAAAAACAATGCCCAGGAGTACTCACCATCTTTACAAACGGTGCCAAGCACACAAGCTCCGTCCTCAAGGTTGTATCCACTAGGACAGGTGCTACAGTTCCTCTCTCCATGACCAATACAAGTTGAACAGCTAGGATCACACCTTGAGAAAATAAAACGTACAGATGTTATTTTTAAATCTTAAGGGTGTACCTTTCTATGTAGATACCTAAAAACGTGTAGGTGTACATACGTGGGGAAAAGTACAATAATAATCCTTGCATTTGAGATACAGCCTTATCACGTTGTTGAGACAATAACAAAATGACATTTGTATGGTGCCTTTCACATCGGGAGGATGTCCCAAGGCGCTGGACAGATAGGAGTTTTGGAACCGAGCTTGTATTGGGGAGGGTGGAGGGCAGCGGAAAGCAGGGTGATCGAAAGTATGGTCGAAGAGGAGGGTTTTGAGATGGATCTTGTAGGAGGCAAGGGAGGGGGCAAGATGGTATTATTGGACTGCTCGGCAGAATTCCTAGGCCTTAGCTGATTAAAAATATATTTTTCTATAATCAGAAATGAAGTTCGAGAAGACAATACAATTCATATTGAGTTCATGTTGGCAGAATATTACATGGTGCTGAACAGTCCAGGGTTTGCACCTGAACCAGGGGTGGGGGACGACGATGAGGAGGGTAAAGGGGTGGGGAGAGAGGACCAAAAGCATGGTCAAAGAGGAAGGTCTTGAGACAGACAGTGAAAGAGGCAAGGGAAAGGAGGGGCGAGTCAAAGGGACTCTGTGTTGGAGTTCCAGAGAGTGGGCAGAAACGTTCAAAGCCCAACTCCCAATGATGGGACAGGGGTAAGCTTGATACACATCTCCACTCTTTTCTAAAGTCTCCGGTCAGCATGTGCCAACCATCCTTCCAGTCTTTCCTCCCTCACCTGGCCCAAATTAATCCAATAAATCTACATTTCAGGGATTGGGGAGCAAAGAACCCATAGAATGTCAATAGAATCGATGCACTGCAATGGCTTTGCAAGGTGTCTGGATTTACAGCTACCCTATAAAGCTGGATACACTGCACTTCTAAATGTGCCTCTGGAACTCCATTCACTAATGCCACCTGGCTTAAGGCAAGTTCAATGAAACCTTGTATGAATTCTGCTAAAATTATGAATCTTAGCTTGCAAAGAAACAGTTTTCAGAGGAAATTTACAAATAGTTGAGAGCAGTTCAAAGAATCAGTTCAACTTACCTCCTGCAAGTCTTTTCTGCGTTTTCATATGGCTGATCTAAGAAGTAGCCAACACTGCAGCTCAGTACACATCTCCAATCTTCCATATAAAAAGATGGTGCACACCTTGTACATGACTCCTGGCCTTGGCCTGGAACAACACAGAAACAGAATGAAGGTCACAGTCCAAGAGTTTTGGTAACTAGATGCTTTCCTTCAGCGAACAATGGCTGTGACATGTTCCAACAGTGCCATGAAATGTAATTTGTTGCTGTTGTTAATGCCCAGCAGTTTCTCCGGTATTTTAAATAATTTAAGGAACTGACAGGTCAAATAATGGACAATTCATCGCTCTGGTATAGGGATCATAGACAAAAAGGGTCATAGCATCAAAATCAGATCCACGATGGTTAGAAATTAAGTCAGGAAGCATTTCTTTGTGAAGATGTGGGTTGTTCTGCCTCAGAAGTCTGTAGAAGCAAAATCAATAGGGGATGTTTAAGAGATGGATACACATTTCCTTGGGTAGTAAAGATATTAAGGAGTATGACAAAAGGATGCAGCATTGAAATGAAAAGATCTGCCAAGATCTAATAAACTAGTGGAACAGTCATGATACCTGAATAGTTTCCTGTTCTTATATTCCCAAATTCATAAATCAATCTATAACATATTGATTGGTTTAAAGCCAAACCAGATTTGACAAATTTATTATTATAAATTCGGTTCACATAAGAAACTTTTTGAACCATCATCACCATCGGGAGTTTCTGCACGACTGACAGCAGCAGAAGTTATTTTTAAAAAATCAGCCTAGAAGCAGCTTTTCCAGGATATTGATTGAAGGCACAAATTTTTCCCCTTTCTTCCCAGTATCCATCCATTATATAATATTCCCTTAATTTGATATAGTACTCTGTCAAGTCATCAAAGCATCACAAAGTGGTTCACAGACTGTCGAGATGTCTCAAAGCACTTCACTCTCGCAAATAGGTGCGACAGGTGCAACATGTATTTTGTGGCCTTAGCTCCCCACCCCGCCCCCCCCCCCCCCCACCACCACGCACGCTATACATAAACCAAGAACACATTACAGTATATGCTATTGGCAATTCTCTACATGTTACCATCTATATCCTCCTGGGGGGGCGGTGGGGGGGGGGGGAAGGAGGTGAGCCCAATACGCTCCAGAATTAGGTAAGGGAGTGTACACTCCATTCCAGATGTAGGAAAATTTCCACGGGTAGGTGTGTGTGGAACTCTTATTCTGGATTGGATACTCTGAACTAGTGATAGATTGCCACGTGTTATTCATCTGGCTGACCAAAATTAATAGCACAATGACGCAGTGTCATGATATTACAACATACCCTATGCAATCCATGGTTCTGTATACTACCACCCAAAATAAGTTATTTAATCAAGATATGTGCGCCTTGGAAAATATTGAGCCCCCCATCCCCTCCCCACCCAAAAAGAACTAAAATGTGCTGAGATTCATGGAAGTAAAGATTACCGGCACATGTTGCACAGGAAAAGTGACATCGTTCACAGCCCCTTTTCTGTGAGTTGTAATAGCTCCCATCTGCACAGCTGAAGACGCACTTTGTTCCCTGCAAACTGGAAGACAGGACAATGGTTGCAAGTCACTTCAGAAGCCCCATTTCCCCCAATGTTTCTTTTACAAAAAATGGCACTGAGTACAAGTTCTTCATACCTCATACCCGGCTTGCAGTCTGTACAGAATTGAAATCCATTGCACCTCCGGCAGTTTTCGCTACATCTCCTACATGTATTTCCATCTGGAAAGAGAAAGAAATATGTGATAAGATAAAGTATATTGGGGAAATAGTAATTAGGGGAAGCAGAAAGGGGAAACATATTTAGAAATGACATTTCTGGCTATGTCAAATTGTGAGATTCGCAAATAGCAAATGTTGGATGTGCAGCAGATCAAAATAAGCCATCTCTGAACTCCACTCAAATTCTGATTGAATGCAGATCTCAGTTCTGTGAAGTTTGCACCTCGAACAGAATTCCAGAGTCAGCCACCAAGACAGGTTTGGAATTCCCTATTCACAAAGATTTTTGGTGAATCTTGGATCAAGTTATGAAATAGAATTATTGTTCCACATCAACCATGGTCCTCATATAAAGGTTAAAGGAAGCACCTACATTTCATACAACTAATTTTATGCTCTGATTGTGTTAGGATTTCACACCTTATCGTCAATAACACTTTTAGATCAACAGGGAACAAGAGTTTGTCCATTTCTGCTCCCTGCTAATATGTGTGTGTGTGTGAGAGAGAGACAGAGGGAGGATGGGGGCAGGGGGAGGGAAGAAACAGGCCTTTTGTCACTTGGGATCCACCATCTATAAATCTTAAAACCACATAAAATGTGATTTGTTGATCTCAGTGTTAATTCCCCAATGCAATATTTTAAACTGGAAGTCACAATTAAAGCCACAAATCCAGTTTGGGAAAACTGTATTAAACTTTAGCTGCTCATGTGACTACTGCTAATGTTGAAACTTCAGCCTTTCTGGCCCCACCCTTTAGAACTCCATCCTGCAGTCCCTTCGTCTTGCTCCCTCCCTTGCTTCCTTCAAGGCCTATTTCAAGACCTTTCTCTTTGACTGTACCTTCGGGTACCATCCTATACCATCCTCCCTCCACTCCTCCTGATCCCAACCCCCAGCTTGGGTTCAAATCCTTGCCTGTCCATCCAATGTTCTTCCGATGTCAAAGGCATTACACAAATGTAATTTGTTGTTGATTTTGTTGCCTTCTTTTTTTTGCTTAACTAGAAATTTGACTCAAAAGTTATTTGCAACCACGAGAGAGTTTTTGTGATCATTTCTCCCTCTCTTTCCCCTTCCATAGAGGAAGTACAATGTAGATTAAAAGTTCCCAATACTTACTTTTATCGAGGTAGAAGGACTCTGGGCAATTAGTCACACAGACATTAGTCTCCTCATTCAAGTGGTAGCCATTTTTACAGGAGATACACTGGTCGCTACGGCTCCCTACACAATTCTCACAGATTGACCAGCATTTTTTACACCTTCTTTTCTCATCATCATAAAATCCCCGCGGGCATTCGGGAACACAGGTCCTGCATTCAAAGCAAATGACTTGGGTTAAATTGGATCCTTTACCTCTGCACAAACTTCTTCCCAAGAAGAGCAGAGAGACCGGTGCACATTTTAGCATAAATTAGAACCATACTCTGTTCAACCCATGAAATTACTGTACCTCCGAACCACAGAACAAAATATCCTTCTTGGCGATCCTACTGTACAATACAAAATTACATTTGTAAAGCGCCTTTCACGTCAAGCATCCCAGAGGGGAACGGCAGAAAGGCTGAAGGCCCGACTGCCGATGGTGGGGTGGGCCAGGCAGGGGACATGGAGCAGGCCGGAGCCTGGTGAGTGGAGGGAGGGGATCGGTTGATAAGGGGCCAGCAGGTCGGAGAGGTAGGAGGCGGCAAGGCCATGGAGGGCCTTGAAGATGAGGATGAGAATTTTGAACTCAATCCTCTGAGAGTTGGGGAGCCAGTGGAGCCGGGCAAGGGTGGGTGTGATGGGGTCATGGAGCCTGGTGCAGGAGAGGACACGAATTGCAGAGTTCTGGATGATCTGCAGCTTGTGGAGGGAAGAGTTGGGAAGGCCGACAAGCAAGGTGTTGGCATAGTCGAGCCTGGTTGTAATGAAGGTGTGTATGAGGGTTTCAGCAGCCTGAGGAGTGAGACAATGGCGGAGTTAGGCAATGTTGCAGAGGGGGGGGGGGGGGGGGGAGGCAAAGCAGTCAAGGTAGGGATGTGGGGGGAAAAGGACAGTTGAGGGTCAAATAAGACCCCTAGGTTCTTGACAGGTTTGGTGCGGTGGAGTGGATGCTGATGTTGCCAGTGCCTGAGGTGCAGAGGTGCTGGCGCGAGCCAATGAGGAGAGCCTCGATCTTGCTGACATTCAACTGTAGAAAGTTGGCTCTCATCCAAGACTTGATATCTGACAAGCAGTCTGTCATTACAGCAGTGTTCCTGGGGTTGAGTGTGGAGGCAGAGAGGTAAGAGTTGGGTGTAATCCGCGTATATGTGGATGATGTCACCAAGAGGGAGCAAATACAGGTTGAAGAGGATTGTGTGAATAATATGTGGTGTTCAGGGGGGAAAGGGGTTAATGTAATTCTCAAATACTATAAACTCTTGTTGCACTGGAGAAGACTTCTGCATTGTTCAAACAAAATTACAAATGTGCAGGTGGTAGTATACAGACCCTCGAATAACTCCAATCCCATAATAAGACTACAATTAACCATGTAGGATCTTAAAACTCCAGGTAACAAAACATTCCTTGCAGATGAACCTACCTGGTGTTGTTTTTAAACTTGAGGAAAAAGTGCAAACAATCGATGCAATGCTGAGGTCCAAGTCCATCGCATCCATTAATACATTCAGGATCACAGGATCCTAAAGGACGAAGGGTGATATTTTAGATTACTTTCTCTCACTTACTAAGAAAAGTGCCATTTCCTGATAAACTCTTAATGCAGAAGCTGTGAACGAATACCAGCAGCAAACAGCTTTCAGTCACTTGGATGACACTAACATTCTGGCAGTGAAAGTGAAGTTTAATTTGCATTTACAGCACAGAGAGTTTCTTCAGCTTTTTGATATGAAAGAAGAAAAACATAAGACGACATCCACTCAATGTGCCTACAGAAGCTAGAATTGGAAACTAGCCAGAGCAGAGCTTGCAAACGGATTATGCTTTGATGAACTTAAAAGCAAAGATAATAAATGTAATAAAATGACAGTCTTACATCACAGCAAAGAAAGACATCGTTATGGGATGGAAATCTTGGTTGCAATCTGCAACAGCTTTCTAGTGAAGAATTACTTTAACTCCTTTCCTCCTGAACACCACATATGATTCAGACAATCTGGAGCACATAATTACTAGCCCTCTCAGGGATGAAACATGATCGACATATTTAGTAGTAGATGTGATCAGTCTTTTCGAAGAGAAGAGACATGATGCCAAGTACGCCATAGAGAGACAATGGCTTCCTCCCCATTGACATGACCGGAGATGCATTCAGGTCGAGCTCTTGGTAAATCAATGCAATGAACTTCTAAAATGTGATTATACTAGACAAGATCATACAAGACCACCAACATGCAAGACTTGCTAGTTTAGAGAACCCAATAAATCATTTAATATTGAGAAAGAGATTTATTAGCAAGACATACATGCAACTCCTTAGAAAGAGATCCCATTGGGCACACACACAAAAGCTATATTTTTTTAAAAAAAGGATTACGACGAGTTATGTCAATTTCAATATCCTTCTACGTGCATTAGTTAAGAGTCCTGCAATTAAAATTGCTCAAAAGGCTACGGTTGAACTGTCAACATCACTTCAAAAATCTGAATATATGGTTTGCACATCCATCATTGCAATTTTCCATTGTATCATTAACCTTTTATGATTTCAAGTTTCATTTCTAAAACAATTGCTAGTGTGCAATTGTTTTAGAGCTTTTTTAGGCAGAAAATCAATGTCTGGTTTGAATGAAGGAGGACATGGTAAATTCAGCACACGTTTGATGTCATCTGTCAGTAATCCATTTGTTTTAAGTTACCTTTCAATTTGATACTTTCAGAGGTTATTGGTTGTATGATGTAATGTTTCAACACAATTTCCTTCAGCTCTGGAGCTGGCGTGGCGTGCCAAATCAGCCCAAATCAATGAGATGGGGGAAAAAAAGGCTATTCTATGAGCTGTCTATAAGGGTCGTACAAAATTGGGTTTGAAAACAATTACAACAGAGTTTCTAGTGGTCATGAACTTATAGCATTCACCATCATTATCTGATGATTTCTCTAATACAATTGAATTGTTTGGAATTTTGATTGCTCCTCTTAGCTTCCTGCTCATATTCCACCAACTTAGCTCACTACATCAACACCATCTTCCTTACATTGGGAGGATAATGGTTGAGCCCACCAGCTGGATAGGAATCATATATGAGCATTCTCCATTGAACGGAAATATTTTCTCCTATGTTCTAGTTAACTTAGAAAAACTGACAAAGCTTAGTCTCTTGGGCAATTTAGTGGATGTTCCCTTTAGTAGGGGAGGCAGGAGTAGTCTCTCGTCCTTGCATTAGTCATTATTATACACGTTGCCCACGGCACACTTCCTCTTACCAGTAAATTCATCCTGAAAGCCCTCCGAGGGTTCATCTACTGGGCTAGATCGCACTCGATCCACTTTTGGTGTATCAAATGGTGTGTACGAAGAGGAATATGGATGGACAGATGTACCATAAAGTACCAGAGAAAATTCCTTCAGTTTTCCTTTAAAATAAAAAAGAGATGGTTATTGAAGAGAACTACAATCATATCAAAACAGCATTGTTGTATATAATAAATGCATTAAATTGCTGAAAGCATTCACCATTAACATCTTATAAACCTCACTTGGTCGATAAAGAAAGAACAGAAATTAATGGATTAGGTAATTTGCAGGGATTTAATTTTTCAATTGAAATTATGCTCCACATACTTGTTGGTGGGTTCATCTTCCCATTTACAACAGGTGAGGAATGCATGAAGGAGAATAGGGCCCCTCCCCATTAGATCAATGGATTACACTTGAATGAAATAGAGAATCAGAGCCTTTAGCACAGGTTAACTAAACTAGCTCAGTGGTGGACAAAATAAAAGATTCTTGATTGAGTAGTTCTTGATTTATGGCATAAATCTCTTCTATTTTGTTATTTCTATGATTATTTAGTTGGCCAACCCAAAAGCTTGGTCATCGCTGCTCTAGATAGAGCTGTCCTGAATTACATGTTAGCTTTTTACCCCTAGAAATGCCAATATCCAGGTGAATTGTTAGATACAAAATAGCAAGTTATAAGGGAGCTTGATATGTAGAAGCACATCATAAAAAGATTATTATGTGAATCCAAGATTATTGCCTAACATATTGGCTGAAAATAAGCAGGCCTGGAATGAATACCACATTCTAATGAATTTTGGAAGAAATTATCCAGGAAATTCTGCCTCAGGGAATGCGATTAGACCTGTCCATACACTTGATGCAATGCTGCAGTTTTGCAGCAGGTGTGCCCTGAACTAATTAAACCTTGGAAGACTTAACCCATTCACACGTTTATTAATTTCCTTGTTCTCACATTTGATGCATATATACCTGCTGACTCCTTTCCAGTCTATTCTGTATCTACTTTGGTACTGAAGGGATGATGAGGTTAACCAGCAGCCCCTCCATTTCTGGCACAGAAAAGCTTAAATAGTCTTGTATTCCCTCTAGACTGCTCCAATCATGATGAAACTTTTCTAAAACATACTGCCAAGTTAAATAAAAGTGCCAGTCAGGGAACGGCAGCTCACGCAGTCTTGGGATATAACATGAATTTCTTTCACGAACATTCACGAAAGCTGTTCCACTGAGATCAGAGATTGGAGACGAGTTGTGACATGGTGGCATGATGGACATGGGTTTCCCTACAACTTGACATTGCATTGTGAAACTTTATTTTATGAATATTGTTGCTCTTATTTAACCTTCATATTTTGCATTTCAAAGCTTAATGCACCATTTGCACGTATGGACCATATAATAATCCACTAAAGCCTGATTGAGGAGCCTGGATTAGTTCCATAAATGAACCAAAAAACTGCCACATTTTAATGATAGTGGCAATCTCATTTCTAACCTCAAGAGATTCTCCCAAGTTGCTGACCAAATCTAAAATTGGGTTTGTAAAAGGGCTTGATCAGGAGAAATGACAATATAAATGTCACAAGCAATCTTGAAAAAAGGGCTAAGAGGCATATAACAAATATCACACATGAAATGCCGTGTATGTCACATCAACCTACAAGACCTTGGCTCTGAGCCAATCTCAGGTCAGAGCAGAGATTTCACAAGTCAGAATGATCAACATGAGATTCCCTGCTTGAGAGACGTCATGACCTGATATACGTTTCCCAGCGTTTGTACCCTTTATCCAGTGTTTTTTGTACTCAAGCCTTTGCCAACCTCGTTGATTTTTCTATTCTAGTAATTAGTACAGCAATACAACAATTGAATATAGCATCCTTCACATAGGGCAATACCTCAAAGCTCTTTACAGAGAACTCTGCCAAACATCAAGCCAGTGGGGGTTGGAGAAGAATAACGGATAGTGACCATGAATCATGGTCAAAGTGCAAGTACATTACTGCTTACATCAGCTACCACTTATAGTCTCTGACTGAGCATATATAAATGGTGCAACTATTCAGTCTTATCCTTGCCCTCCTGTAAGAAATGTCTGGATCGATACATGTTTTCTTGACTGAAGAAAGCTGCTTTAAAAATGCCCACTAAAGAAGGGGACCTGGAAGGATTTATTGCAGAAATTCAGAAACAGGGACAATGAATTTAACTACATTGATATAAAATGACCAAAAGTACACTATTGTAGCAAAAGTGTTGACATATAATCAAAACGGGAACAACAATCCTCCTCTATATACCACTGCACTAAACGTCCCAAAGATGTCCACAGCATAACGACACACTTTCAGCACTTCCTGAATTGCATATCCCATCTCCTCTAGCCTTGCTCTTTGGCCTGTACCCTCCACGCTACTGTTTGTACCTCATTCCCATCATCAATGATCAAGCCTTCAACCAGTATTGCAAAGTTCCTATTCAGCCTTCTAAAGTGCTTTGAGACATTGTCATTGTTGTTAAAAAATTCCGACAAGTTTTATGTTGCATTTTAGAGTATCCAGAATTTAGAAATTCTTAAACAGCTTAAATTTTGAAGTTGGTTTTCTGTAAGTTCTTTTAATTTTCTCCCCAAATCCATTTGCCTTGCACCTTCTTTCGCTTCTACAGTATTAGAACTGAATGGTACTGAACTATGCTACTATCCTAAATGAATTAAAAAAAGGTTACAGTGAGGTTTCAGAAGTTCACCCACACACCCGTGGCATTGAGATCTCCTCCAACTAAGCAGGAAATTACACTCAACTCAGTCCTACAATGCTGAATTGCTGTCCATGCGATTTGGAAACACAACACAGAAGAAATCTCATTTCACAGCCTCAGAAATAATTGGAAATGAATTACCATTGTAAGGTTCACTTTTTCTAGGTCAATTTTTGAATCAGTTTAAAGAAAACGAAATGCATTGGTGAGATGTTAATATTACAGCAAGTGTTTCAGCATCTACTGATAATGTTACTGAAAGAAGCCTAAAGAAATATTTTGAAAGCATGTTTTTGTTAATAGCCACAAGTGTTGAAAAGAATGATTTGAACTTAAAATCATTTTACACTTATTGGGGTTGAAAAACCAGTGCATTGCGAAGGAATTTACAAATAGCAACTCAGTGTTACTAAAAAGATATTCTGCCAATAGCAAACAGTTTGTCACGGTTGACTCTTCGCTCTGAATCGCTGAAAGAAAATTGCGGAGTTTCTAAGTCAACCGTGATGTGCTGCTGGTTATCACTTTTCAAACCCTCTGACAATACTGGTGAAGTGCAAACTGCCCAAGCAACTCTCACTTATCTTCTTCCAGCAGTTATAAGTATATTTTTCAGCCAAAAACATGCCAAAAAAAAATCACCAAATTGGGACTAAAATTGGTGGATGATTAAAGTATTTATAACTCAGAGAGATGTCAAGAACGCATCTCGAAATACATCATGAATAATTGAAAAGTGAAGCCTAATGATTGCTTGAAATGATAAGTGTTCAATGCAATTACTGCCTCTCAGTCACTTTGTTTCTCACATTTATTTTACAGCTAAAAGGCCCAATCTTTAACAATGTAAAGCAAGGATTACATGAAGAACCAATAGTAATTTGGGGCTACGATTTGTTGTGTATTCATACCGTCCAGTGAGTTTGTTTATTGTCATTTCACCAGAAATCTAGCCTAGACTTATAGACTGAAAGGCTGGTTTCTACTGCCTGTAATACTTTTGAGTAATAAAACTTTGGGGAGTTTTAATAAAATAATATATAATCTGTTATTTTCTCACAGAGATTCATTCAAATCAGGGATGTAAGAAATGAAAATATCACATTACAGGGAGTGGGGTGCATGGGCTGTTTTTCTGAGGTTGTGTGCTGGTTCTGTCACACCAACCAAGGGTAGTTTTTGCTTTTCATGTCTGACCTTGGAGTGCTCAATGCAGGCAGGTGTAAAAAATGGAGGTCTTCTCACTACTCAAAAAGAAAATCACTGCAGAATGGATTTATATGGGCAAAAGTAAATTTAAGCAAAACAATAACACTTTTTTTTATCGTCTATTGTTACTTGTGGATGTTTTCAAGCACACGTCCAAAAGCCAAGCATTGTTCAGCTGAGCTTGACAGTAACACTTCATTTTATGGATCAAAAGATAATGGAACACATCATTTATGAAAATTTAAGCCGCAGTCAAGCACATCTGAAGCCAAGCCATAAGGCATGATTTTAAAAAAAGGTTGGGTGTTGAAACAGGGACAGTCTGTACTTTCGGTATAACATTTCTCAAACAATTTTCAACTCAAGCCATGTAAGGTTTCAATTTAAAAAAACTAAGGGGTGATAGAAGATGAACTTATTACATATCGTAAAGCAATATACACGATGCAAGTTGCTTACCAAAGATTACAATTCATTTTATTTCTTTTGTTACGTAGCCATGCTGAAAAAATTCTTGGAACTTACAGAAAATCATAAAATGTTTCTTTCAAGAAATCTCTCCAACTGAGAAGTGCAACACTAGCTAATCCAACACAAAATCTGTTAGTGTATCTTTTGATGGACATAGTTTTACCACTGAACACAAGAGGTTGAAAACCTAACATTTCACAAGAGATTATTGCAAATACCTGGTGTCTTGAAGTTCCGAAGCTGGGACGGACTGTCATGGATTTCAAGGACCCAGTCACCAACTGCCTTTTCACCCCACGAATGAGTAGTCATGAATTCCCAGCTTTTAAAGCCTTCCATAGAATGATCGAACAACCTGGAATGGCAACATGGAAGAGACGGTCAAGAATGGCACATAAGGGAGTACTTTCATTTTCACACACGTATAAACTGGATTAAATACCACATGCAACTCCTACACTTTGTAGCCATTAGTGCAGAAGAAGCATAATCCTTCTACAGGGGATTTGATGATATAGCAGAATTTAAAACAGCTTTAAAACATTTAGGCATTGAGTTCAAAAGTTGGAATTCTGGGCAAATCTTTGAAAGCGACAAAGAATAAATCCTGGAGTCAACAGAAGCCGATAGCAGAAGATATCATGCCCCAGTGACTTCTAAGTCCTGCTGATGAGCAATGCTGGTTGTTCAGTCATCAACAGTACCTTAGAGTACTTTGAACTTGGCTTGCTCAGGAACCAGACTACAAGTGAGCCAGCCACAATGGATCAACTTGATTCTGAAATTCAGCCCCAAAGAGACCCCAGTTACCTCCCACCTTCTTCCCCTGAAGGATTCCAGTATTGAACACTACATAAAGTATCTGCACTTATAAAGAAATTGCAATGACCTCTGATGATCAAAGGTGAAGGAGCTGTGTAGGTCATAGTAATGGGTGTCAGGTGCTGTACTTAAATTCGTCACACACTTAACATTCCTTTGACCCGCCCAGAACATTCCAACTTCCTGTCATGTTGTCGTGAACAGAGCGGATAGTATCCAGCACATTGAAATCTGAAGAGCTATTATGCGAAAAACAAAACAGCCATAAATCAGGCCCACACAATCCCGTCTGAAAGTTGACCCAGGCGGTGTGAGCAGCCTCAATTCAAAGCTGCAACAGTTAATTATGGCCCAAGCACACTGAAGCACATTAAAGCAATCATTTCCCAAATGACCTACTTATTTCAGGGATTTCTTTTTGCAACCTAGAAAGTTATGACTTGCGCACAAAACTGATAAGTGATGTGAAGCAAGGGAACAATTATTGCAATGAATGCAGTTATGGAGGTCACACTGACCATTAAACAAATGCTGACCTCCAAGGCACCCAGTGGTGCAGGCCATGATAATTTACTACAGAAATCCAAATATAAAAGATTCGAAGTTAGAGATTCAATATGGACACAATTAGAATAAATACATTGAGAAGGGACAAAATCTATTTTTAACAGCAAAACAGTCTTTAGAAACTATCTGCATAAATCCATAGTTATTCTGTTCCTAAGCAATTTCAAGTCCATTGAAGGCATGATTGAAATCATCTGGTTATGTTGAAACAGTGAACGAGTGGTACTTTGGCCTTCGATAAACCATTAAATCTAAGCACCACCATAAACAGCTTTGTAACAGCCGTTCTTAATTATTATGATTGGGTTTCAAAGTACAATGATAGCAATGAGTTAGCTGTCATCAGTAATATGGAATCACCAGATACCCAGGTTTGTGAATGGCTTTCAGATTTCAAGAGGACGGTGCTAGCCTCTCTGTAACCCTTCCTTGCACTGGATTTAGTTATTTTGAACTGCCTTGTAATAGCCAAATTCGTAACATTCTAGACTTCAATCATGTTACATTTCTTAGGGGTCAGTCGGGTGTCTGACACAAGCGGAAATCCATCACCATGCTTAAGAGTTCCTAAACCAAGCTGAGATTTCCATGCATCCCACCTACACATGGAAATCCCAGAGATAGATTGTTGTAATGGTATGCGCACAGTCTCCCTGGTTACCTAATTCTGGAAAGTATGAGGCGTAGGTTGAAAAGAGCCAAGGTTTGGGGACCCCAGAGTGTATGTTGGGATACTGCTGGAGTCTAATCAGCTGAAACCACATAGGTTGCCATTGATAATGCTGTCTGGGAAGCTTTCCCACTGCTTGTCCAGCTAGGACCATCCTACCCATTAGGGCTTTTACGTATGTTCCTGTAGATAGAGAAACTATCTCCTTAAGTGAGGGAATCCAGAACAAGGGGTTATAATCATAAACTAAGAGCTAGGCCAGTTAGAAGTGAAACCAGAAAGCAATTTTTTCACATAAATAGTTGTGGAAATCTGGAATTCTCTCCCTCAAATGGCTGTGAAAATAGGACAATTAGGACTTAATACTCTGATGGATAATATAATGATAATAAAGTCAGATTACCAAATAATCATTTGTTTTAGCCATTTGACTTTCCTGTTTATCATTATCTTGATGTCTCTGCAGTAAGGTTTTGATCTGAACCCAGCATTTACTGATCTTTGTAAAACCTGTTGTTCCTTCAGATGGACTGGCTGGTGTTTGATATCTGGGTGTGTACCCCTTTCTTTGATACCGTTCACTCAAAAGACCACTGCGACCAAGCGACAGAGGGAAGAGGCTACGCCTTCTTGTGGCTTACAAGCCTCCCAAAAATTCCCTCTCCCTGCTCCACCCCACTGGTGACTTGTTTGGATGAATTATTGCTTTACAAGCCACAAAAGCAAGTGGACCAGGTTCGATTTCCAGGCAGGGGAAAACCTTTGACAAGATTCCTTATACCACACGCATGTTTACCAAGCCGCAAATAGGTACCCGGTTGTTAGTCAATTGGCAGATCGCTTTCTGGGAGTAATAATCCCTTCAAAATAAATAAATAAATAGTTAAATAGTTTGATCACTCATTCCTCGACTATTTGTGGGATACTGTTGTGTGCAATTGGTTGACTTCAAAAACAAATGCACTATACTATTAGCATTTGATATAGCACCTATAATGGCCGACGTGACTATTTTACGCATGGTTAATGCTGCCTGCATACGGCCCCTGGGTCTTAAATTGGTAATCCCTATCTGGAGGATTGCTGACCATGATATTCGGAGGAACTCCTTTCTCTTTTTGAATAGTGCCTGGACAGGCAGACATTAACATTTTACCAAAGGGCGTCTCCCCAATTTCTCCAGAGTTGCATTGGAGCTCAAAGTCCTGATGTGGGGCTTGAACTCACAATCTTGGGACGTAGAGGTGAGCGCACTACAAACAGAGTCAGGCTGACAACTGGTACAAATCAACCTACAATTGATAAAACAGGGTCTGAAAATAACATTAGATGCAAGAGTCTGCACTGTCAGGAGAGGGAAACAAAATAGGCAGAAAGCTGAGAAGACAGGAGAAAAATAAAGGTCTTTATGAAGACGTCCAGTGCCAACAGAACTCTTCATCCAAACTAAGAACTACAGTTACAATCTAATCGAAAATCAGAAGCCTGATCTTATTTGAGTCTCAATTTTCTCACTTGAATAGCTGCGGCACTACACATCTTATCATGCAACATGTTTACACACATTTCATTACAATAGCTTATCCTAGGGTAAAATTTCCTCTGACGGCTTATCTCTCACCAACTACACTGGTCTTTCTGCATTTTGTCGTAAACTCAAATTGCTCCTCTGGTCTACTTCCAGCATCATTGCCTCCACCCTCCCTGAGCCCAAACCCCCCACCTCGGGTCCTAATTCCTGACTGTTTGGCGCCTTGGGACGTCCTCCAGACATGAAAGGCACTCTACAAATGCAATTTTGTATTGTATTGACATAATCAAACAGGATTTTGATGAGCTTCAGGCCATTTACAAGGACCACAATAAGTGGAACACTCTGTACTATCTAATGTGAGTCTGCACAGCCCAAACTGCAATATCCAGTTCTGCAGTTAGACACTGCAGGCTTGGGACTCCCTGAATTGGGGTATTGAAGTGCAAGTGATCATTGTATGTCAAAGTAATTGGAGTGTAGTACTTCAGCAAGACTAATTTCACCACAGTAGTGGCCTTTTGTTTGCACTGCACCTGCAGACAGTAGATAAAACTCTCCTCCAAACAGCTGTTCTCTCTCAGGAATAGCTTCAGCCGTTCTTCAGCAAGCAGAAAGAACATAGAGGAAATCCAGACAAGCTAAACAGACTATCAAAGCTTTCAGTCCAGTTTCCAGAGTCCAATTGCCATGGAAAAACACACCCTCGTTTGAACTAATCTAGGACAGCCTTTTAGAATCCTTTCGTCGAAACATGTGTTAAGATGAATATAATCTTTTTCCCCAGCACGCAGTAATACGATATAAATTATTCTCTCTCTAATAACTTATGTTAACGATGTGGAGCTTGTCTAAAGCAATTTCATATTAGTAGTCACACTTTATAAAGATTTCTCTTCTAAAAAAAAAGCAAATGGTTCCAGTTTGTAGAAGTAAATCACTATTGTAATATTGTAATACTAAACACATTTCAACTGCAAATCTCATGACTTTATACTTAATGCAAAAATATTAGGCCAAAAATTCCTTTCTGCTATTGGCATAAAAAATGAGGAGTTTATGTAAGGAGGGGAGGGAATATTGGGAATTCATGCTTCTCTAAAATCATTTTAAAGTTTTGCACATCACAGCTGCCGATTAAGCACTTTATGCAGTTAAATATACTAACTTTACAAATGATAATTTTCTAAAATGTAGCTTATGGCCCAGGAATATTTTATAAAAGTTTCAAATTATTCGGCACTTGCAATTCCTATGTTGAGTGTCATATACAGATTGAACAAGTGGTGCAGCTATGTTAATAATTCCTCAAGCAGGATGGAAATTCCATGCTCAACTATTTGTAGATATTCTTTGCCACTTTTCATCCATCAGTCACTGCAAGAATCAGGATGAAGCTCACTTTCAAAAGCAGACATGCTGCCAGTTATGCGTTGCCTTTACATATAATAATAAATAATAATAATAATCCTTGCATTTGATATAGCGCTTTTCACGTCTTCTAGACCTCTCAAAGCGCTTCACAGAATATGCTGTAAAGTGAATTGACTGTATATTTGTGGGCGAAACGCAGCAGCCAATTACACACAGCAGTGTCCCACAAACAGTCGTGGATTGAAAATGACCAACTTATTATTGTTTTCGAGGGATTATTATTAGACATGTGGAGTAAGGAAACTTGCCCATGGTTTCGCCCTGCCTGGAATTGAACCCAGGTGTCTCACTTGCAAAGCAAACAAAGCAAGTCCACCATCTCAACAATAAACTTGCAAACACACACACGCACAGGGGTAGATTTGGCAAGATTTCTAAACTTAACTAATTTGATCCTGTTGTTAATTATTGCTACAGTTAGCAGTGATTAGTAGATTCTGACGGAAGAGGGTTGGGGGGGTGGGGGGGAGTTGTGGAAGAGGTCCCAGGCATCAAAAAAAATATTTGTTTATGTTTACAACTTGGCTGATAAAATATTTTTACGTTTTAAGTTAGGAAGAAGGAAAGACGTTTGTATATATTTTTTGGGGGGGTGGGGTGGTGAATGATTGGAAGGTTGTAGGTGAGGCAGAGGTGATATCGCACAATAATTTCTTCATGTTAGATAATACTAGTTACCCTTGCGTTTGATACAGCTCCTTATCTCATTGTCGAGACGTCTCAAAGTGCTTCACGGGATACACTGTAAAGTGTAGTGACTGTGTATATTTTGTGGGCGAAACGCAGCAGCCAATTGCGCCCAGCAGCGTCCCCACAAACAGTCGTGGGTTGAATGACCAAATTATTATTATTTATGTATATTTGGTGGGATTATTCTCTCCCAAAAAATATGGTGACTCAATCCAGGATATGGGACGGTGTTGTCCGCAACTGGTTGCCGGGTCTCGTCCACAAATCCAGTCAATCCACTTTACAGTGTAATAATTGCTTTGAGACGTCTCAATGGCGTCGTTGGGCGCTATATCAAATGCAAGGAGGTGGGAGCATGAGTGAGGGGAGGGAAGGGGAAGAGCAAGTTGAGGGCTGGAGGTCCGGAGAGTGGGCAGACTGGCTGAAATTTCGCTTGTTGGTAGGGGGGCTTACTCCACGGCACTCACTGCTGACAGCAACCCCGCCCGATCTGGCTCATCGGCAAGACCCGGAAGGGCCGACCAGTCACTGGGGGCAGGGAATCCTCCCTCTCAGCTCCTGTTAACCCTGCTGCCAAAGCCCCAGCTAACTAACTAACTAACTAACCAACCAGGAGGGTGGTCCTAGCTGGACAAGCAGCTGGAAAGCTTGGCCCGACAGCGCTCTCTCTCTCTCTCCCACGCTCTCTCATTGGCCAAGCTATGTGTGGGTTTAGCTGGTTAGAGTCCAGCAGTTACCCCCAACCTACACTCAGGGATCCCCTCCACACAAGTCTTGGCTCTCGCCAGCCAACCTGCGCTGAATACTCCGGAATTAGGTAAGCAGGGGGCATCCCTCCAGGGAGAGAGAGCATTACATTCTGACAATCTATCTCTGGGAATTTCCGTGCGTAGATGGGAGGCCAGGAATTCTCAGCCGGGTTTGGAGACTCTTAAGCAACGGTGATGGGTTTCTGCATGTGTCAGACTGATCCCCCCACAAAATGGATCTGTTGGGATACCCAAGGGAGTCCTGTAGCTCAGGGGTTAGAGCACTTGCCTTGCAAGCGAGACACCTGGGTTCAATTCCAGGCAGGGCGAAACATTGGGCAAGTTTCCTTACTCTACACGCCTGATAATAATCCCTCCAAAACAAAACAATAATAAATTGGTCACTTCAATCCACAACTGTTTGTGGGACACTGCTGTGCGCAATTGGCTGCCGTGTTTCGTCCACAAATATACAGTCAATTCACTTTACAGTATATTCTGTGAGGCGCTTTGAGAAGTCTAGAAGACGTGAAAAGCACTATATCAAATGCAAGGATTATTATTATTATTAGATTCACACTAATCTGCCATAATACACCAATCGGCCACTAGTGGCAGTGCGTCACTCCTAACTGCTTCAATGACCCACTGTGTAAAGCAGTTGACTTAAATACCACCTCACATGAGCAGTGAGACAAATGGGCTGACTTGTATGCGGCACTGTGGGAGAAATAGTTCACACTGTCTCAAGTGTTGCAGAACGCTGGTATCCACACTTAAAATAACAACAACTAATCAATGCTTCTCTCCCTCCCCCCCATCCCACCTGAAACCCTTCACAGCTAACCAAGCATTGATCTTCAGACCTACACCTTGGGAATGCTGGTTAGTGGAACTATGGTTGATACAACTTTTTCTGTTCAGTATAGTTGATATGTGCCTACTGGGATTACAATGAAGTGACCGGTGAGCCACAATTTACCCATCGCTTCTCACCATTTCGAAGACTGTTGGCCAGCACAATGGGAGAAATTCCCTTTACTTTTCGAATACTGCCACGGGATCTTTAACATCCACCAGAATAGGCCGATGGGACCTCAGTTTAATGTCTCATTCAGAGGATGACATCTCCTACAATACAGCACATGCATACAGCATTGAAGTGTCAGTTTGCACTATAAGTGTTCTAAATCTGACGTAGGGTTTGAGCGCACAACCTTCTGACTCAGAGGTGAGACTGCTACCAACCGAGTCAGACTGAGCCAGCAAAATGAAACCAATACTCAAGTCTTTTCTGTTCAACCTGTTCTGCCCTCCTCCATCTGCTTTACCCACCCACCCCACCATTGGTGGGAGAGCCTTTAGCCACTCTGCCCCCAACCTCTGGAATTCCATCCCCCAATCACTCCGCCTCGCCCCCGCCTCAGCTTCCTTCAAGACCCTCCTCTTTGATCATGCGATCGGCCACCCCTCTTCCCCTCCCCTCTCCCCCCCGACCCTAGCTCGGGTCTGAAATGTTGCACACTACCCAGCGCCTTCGGACGTCCTCCCGACGTGAAAGTCCTCTACAAATGTAATCTTGTTGTTGTTAATGGATTCAGAAATGCAAGCCCCTGGATCATTGAGTATTCATTTTTTAGAATTCCAATGCATCTCAGGTATAACAGAACAATAATCAAGTCCTAAAATCTTTCTCTCTGTATTGAGACATGAAAAGAAATCCTGTGAAACTTTTCAAAAACGGCCCATCATCTCCCAGAGAAATTGAGTTTACTGATAAATTAACAGCAATCTGTGAGATTATTATTTGAGAGCACAAAATTGCATGCCCAATTTTTCACACCAGTGCAATTGTTAATAGCTTTTTTTTCCTGATCAGTGAACCACACGAGCAGTACAATGAGGAATTAAACAGGGTGGCAGAAGAGCACAATTACCTGTTTGACAGGAGCTCGGACTTTGTTCCAGACGGAGAGGTCAAGTATATTGCCAGGTCACCTCGGCGAGGGTGTGCAATGGTAACTCGGACAACAATGTGTTCCAGGTACAAAACGTGGTGGTTGAGGTTTTCTGAACATCCAGTGGCTTTGTACACGGCTCTCACAACGTGTTCAGGGCGGATTGTTCTATAGCAAAGAGAGAAACAGAAAAGAAGTTAGAAATCACAAGGTCCTCAAACAAGCTGAGTGGCTGCCTGTGCTGAAACAGTCTCACATTGCTGAACAATCAGCACAGCTTCAGACTTCATTTCTATTATCACAGCAAATGGTCAGAAGCTGTGGTAACAGACACACATTAACTTCTTTGCAAAGTATTTCTATTATTGAGGTTATTCTCAGCATAGGTTAAAGGCACAACAATAAGTAAGTGAGCAACGAGGAAAAGCCATTTAACCCGATGTTCTTTTACCATATTCCATGCAAAACCTACCCTCTTGTAGACTCAACCGACTCTGCCTATCTCCTGCATAGAAATTTTGCATAGAAACTGCCTGAACCCCAGGTAGACCATATCCGTAACCAACCCAAATCTCTTCACTTCTACAGTCAACTCTGTCCCAAACATAGCAGCATAGAAATAACAGTAGTTGCTAAAATGACCAAACCATCTCAGTTTGTTTGCACCATTCACTACTTCCTTTGCTTGTCCCTTGCTCTGCCCTCCCCACCGTCAGGCCTTCAGTCTTTCTGCCTCCACCCTCTGGTACTCCATCCCAGAGTCCTGTCCCTCACCCCTTCAAGATTTGTCTCAAGACCTTCCTCTTTGACCGTGCCTTCAGTCATCTTCCCATCCCCAAATCCCCTGCCCTCCACCATTCTTGAATTCAACCCCCAGCTGGGGTGCAAACCCTTGACTATCCAGCACTGTGGAATATCCTCCTGACTTGAAAGGTGCTATATAAATGCATGTGCTGTTTGTTGTTATTGTTCCTCCAGAACTGTCAACAAACAAACAGATCCTGATCCATTTCTTTAAGAAATGGGAGAATGCAATGAAACCTGCTGATGTTTCATCAGGAGTTTTCAGATTCTGCTTCAACTTATATATAATAATAAGCCTTGCATTTGATATAGCGCTTTTCACGTTTTCTTTTCTAGACGTTCAAAGCGCTTCACAGAGCTTCACAGAATATACTGTAAAGTGAATTGACTGTGTATTTGTGGGCAAATTTAATAATCCAATTTAATGAACAGTGAATAATGACTGAGAACACAAACGTGTGAAATGTCAAACCTTCAGAGAGACCTATTGACTCTCTTCAACCACCCAGAAGATACTGCATTCAGATCAATTTTAATATCAGAATCACACACAAATTTGTTTAACCCTTGGTTCAACAGAAAATCTTGACAATTTCGATCTTCAAAGATGTTCTGATGATCCATACATCAGTGTTTTTTTAATACAAAAGTGTGGGAACAGACAACCAGCTGCCTGCACCATGAAATAGGCCTTTGTGCCTCATTATAGCGCAGGTTGGGATTTTATAGATGCCAAACACCACGTTATATCAGCACTCTACTGCGTACAGAAAACTTCTCAATCTTTGAAACACTGACAAAAATCTGTTTTGAATAAAACTTTGTCACACACATACACACACACACGGAGGGTTGACATTTATTGCTTCCTGATGTGTTTTAACCAACAGTTGGGACATCCTCTGGGAAAGACTGCTGCCAACCCATCTACCTAAAGTAGCAAAGGGCAACTCTCATTAAGCAGAAACCAGTCACTTTGAAATACATTATTATTGCAGGACAACTAAATTGATAATAATTGATGAGTGCAGAGGTTTAATTAATTACTGTAAAAGGGCTCTGCTCTTCTTCAAAGACAATTTGTTTGGAGCCTGGTATAATTGTACATTAGAGACGAGGTCCAAATATAGACAATTTTGAAGTACCATTCAAAAATTGCAATTCCTCGTTCTATACTTTTGAAGGCCCAACCATACATTCTTCATTGATCATATGCTAGTCTTTCCTGCTAGGTCATCTACACACTACAACTTAAGAAAATATAATGAAAAATAGATCATTTGGTCAATTAAACCTTTTTCTTCACTCAAAGATCTGTTCGTTGAAATTCAATACAAGTGCCTACTGAGACTGGATCAATCATCAGCTTGGCTCAGCTGGTTGCACTCTTGCTTGTGGGTCAGAAGGTTGTGAGTTCAAATCCCATTTCAGGACTTTGCTATTACAGTGTAGGCTGACACTACTAGAATCATAGAATTATACAGCACAGAAGGAGGCCATTCGGCCCATTGTGCCCTTTCGGCTCTTGGAAAGAGCTGTCCAAATTAATCCCATACTCCCGCTCTCTCCCCACAGCCTTGCAAACTTGTTCTCCCCAAATATCTATTCACTTCACTCTTGAAAGTTGTTATCGAATCTGCTTCCACCACCCTTTCAGGCAGTGCATTCCAGATCTGAACAACTTGTGTGAAAAAAATTCTCCAGATCTTCTCTCTGGTTCTTTTGACAACTTTTCTTAAATCTGTGACCTCTGGTTACAGACCCATCCACCAGTGAAAACAGTTTCTCCTTGTTCACTCTAACAAATCCCCTCATAATTGTGAGCACCTCTATTAAATCTCCCCTTAATCTTCTCTGCTCCAAAGAGAACAATCGTTGCTTTTCTAGCCTCTTCACACAACAACAATTTCAAAATTCCCAAATTATATTTGTATAGCGCCTTTCACATCGGGAGGACATCCCAAGGCGCTGGATGGTCAGTGTTTCGGACCTGAGCTGGGGTTTGGGATCAGGGAGGGTGGAGGGCAGAAAGGAGGGTGACTGAAGGCATGGTCGAAGAGGAGGGTCTTGAGACAGGTCTTGAAGGAGGCAATGGAGGGGGCAAGGCGGAGGGACTGCGGGATGGAGTTCCAGAGGGTGCAGAATGGCTGCAGGCCCATCCACCAAATGGGGGTGAGTGAGGCGGGGGACGTGAAGCAGGCCAGAGCCCGTTGAGCGGGCAGGTTGGAAGGGGGTTAGGAGGTTACAGATGTTGGGAGAAGGAGAGCCTTGGAAGGTGAGGACCAGAATCTTGAACTGTATCCTCTGTGTGATGGGAATCCAGTGGAGTCGGATAAGAATAGGGGTCATAGGGTCATGGAGCCTGATGCGGGAGAGGATATGGACTGCAGAGTTCTGGGTGATCTGTAGCCTATGAAGGAAGGAGTTGGAGAGGCTGTCAAGCAGAGTTTGCATAGTCAAGCCTGGATGTTATGAATGGATATATGAGGGTCTCTGTGGCCTACGGTGTGAGACAGTAGCAGAGCGGACGATGTTGCGGAGGTGGGGGAAGGCAGAGTAGGTCATGGCATAGATGTGGGGTAGAAAGGATAGTTGAGGGTCGAACAAGACGACAAGTTTCCCGGCTGGTTCAGTGAGGTAGAGCGTGCATCCCTCATTCCTGGTACCATCCTGGTAAATCTCCTTTGCACCCTCTCCAAGGCCTTGACATCTTCCTAAAGTGTGGTGCCCAGAATTGAACATAGTACTCTAGCTGAGGCCTAACCAGTGTTACTTTTGTATTGTATGCCCCTATTTATAAAGCCAAGGATTCAGCATTTTTGTTTTAAAAAGCAGCTTTATCTACCTGTCCTGTTACCTTCAAGGATTTGCTTATGTGAAACCCCAGGTCTCTCTGTTCCTGCACCCCCTTTAAGATGCTACCATCTAGCTTAATATTGCTCATTCTTCCTCCCAAAATGCATCACTTTGCATTTCTCTGCATTAAATTTAATCTGCCACATGTCTGCCCATTTCACCAGTCTAAGTCTTCCTGCAGTCTACTACTATCCTCCTCACCATTTGCTACTTTTCCTAGCTTTGAAATTGTGCAAACTTGGAAATTGTGCTCCCTGTACCCAGGTCCAGGTCATTTATAAAGATTAAAAAGATCAGTGGTCCTAATACTGACCTTGAGGGACACCACTGTATACTTCCCTCCAGTCAGAAAAACTGACTGAGGAGGAATGCTGTTAAGAGCTGTTGTCCTTTGGATGATGAATAGGGGTATAGAATACAAAAGTAAGGAGGTCTGCCAGTCTAAATTGATATTAAAGATAACATGGCACGGTTTGAAAAGAGAAGGGAGTTTCTCCCAGTAACCTAACCATTATTTCCCTAGATAAATTGGTTATTCACTTCATAGTTATTACAACAACAACAACAACAAGATTCCATTTATAGAGCGCCTTTCACGTCAGGAGGACGTCCCAAGGCGCTGCACAGTTGGGTCATGACCCGAGCAGGGGGGAAATGGTCAGGGTGAGGGGAGGGAAGGGAGGGAGAGAGGAGGGGGGAAATGGTCAGGGTGAGGGGAGGGAAGGGAGGGAGCGAGGAGGAGGAAGAGAGTCGAGGCAACATTAGGGGGACTCTCACAAAATGGTTGCTGCGCCCAGCTACAAATAATCTATATATTTGACAGCAATTATTTGTGAAGCTCTTTGAAACTTTTGGCCATGATAGGTTTTCACAAGTGCAAGAATCATTCTGAATTCCATCCAATGTCCTATTCTCTGAATTCTATTCAATGTCCTCGTGTACAAGAGTATATCCCAAACTGCAAACTTTATGATGACCCGTTTACGCCTCAAGACCTTCCTCTTTGAAAGAGTTTTTGGCCATCTCTTCCCCCGCCCCCACCCTCCTCCACACCCATATTAAGTGCAACAACAACAACTTGGATTTATATCATGTCCTCCACGCCAGACGGCGTCTCAGAGTGCTTCACAGTAACAGATCCCAAGCCAGGGGGAGGAAGGTGACCAAAGGCGGGGTCAAAAAGAAAGGTCTTCAGCAGAAACCTGAAAATAGGAAGAGAGGGGGCGAGGCAAAGGGAATGAGGAAGGGAGTTCCAAAGCCTCGGGGCATAGTGGCTGAATGCACGGCTGCCGAGGGTGGAGTGGAGAACTCCGGGGACAAGGAAGAGGCCAGACCCGGAGGAACAAAGGCAACAGGCACTGTTTTGAGGAGAGAAGAGGTCAGAGAGGTAGGGTGGTGCGGAGGAGTGGAGGGATTTGAAGACAATGGTGAGGATCTTGAAATCGATCCTCTCTGGGACAGGCAGCCAGTGCAGTCTGGCAAGGACTGGGGTAATCGGGGAGTGGAGTTTGGTGTGGGTGAGAATGCGGGCGGCAGAGTTTTAAATGATCTGGATTTTATGGATGGTAGTGGAGGGGAGGCTGGCGAGGAGGGCATTTGAATAGTCCAGCCGAGAGGTGACAAAGGCATGGACCAGGGTTTCAGCAGCTTTCAGAGAGAGGTATTGGGAGGAGACAGGCGATGTGTCAGAGGTGGAAAAAAGCGGTGCTGTTGAGGGACTGGATATGGGGTAGGAAGAATAATTGGGGGTCGAACCTGACGCCTAGGTTGCGTACAGGTTCAGAGAGTTTTAGGGGGAGGTCAGGTAGATGGAGGAGGTGAGAACCGTGAGATTTCAGATGTGAACGAGAATCAGAGTATGGCTTCCGTCTTGTCAACGTTCAGCTGAAGGAAATTTGCACTCATCTAAGTCCTGAGATCTGACAGGCAGGCTGACAAAACATCAGGGAACTGAGGGTCGCAAAGTAAGGTGGAAAAATAGAGTTGGGTGTCGCCCGCATACATGTGGAAATGTACCCCATGTCTGCGGATGACATCCCCAAGAGGGAGCATGTAGATCAGAAAGAGGAGAGGGCGAAGGATGGATCCTTGGGTTACCCCACAGGTAAACCGGGTGAGAGCGGGAGGAGAAGCCTGTTGTGCAGATGTACTGCTGGTGGTTTGTGAGGTAGGACTCGAACCAGGCGAGTGCAGTCCCACTGAGGTGGATGACAGAGGAAAGGCGGTGGAGGAGGATGGCGTGATCGACTGTGTCGAACGCGGCGGAGAGGTCCAGGAGGACAACAACAACAACAACAACAAGATTCCATTTATAAAGCGCCTTTCACGTCAGGAGGACGTCCCAAGGCGCTGCACAGTTGGGTCATGACCCGAGCAGGGGGGAAATGGTCAGGGGAGGGGAGGGAGCGAGGAGGGGGAAATGGTCAGGGTGAGGGGAGGGATGGGAGGGAGCGAGAAGGGGGAAGAGAGTCGAGAGGGGAGCTGAAGGCTCGGTCAAAGAGAAAGGTTTTGAGACCGGCCTTGAAGGAGGAAAGGGAGGAGCGGCGAAGGCACTGGGGGATAGAGTTCCAGAGCCTCGGGGCTGAGAGGCTGAAGGCCCGACCACCAATGGTAGGGCGATTGGGGCGGGGGACGTGGAGCAGACCGGAGCCGGAGGAACGGAGGGTATGGGCAGGTAGGTAGGGGGATAGTAGGTTGGAGAGGTAGGAGGGAGCAAGGCCGTGAATGGCCTTGTAGGTGAGGATGAGGATCTTGAAATCAATGCTCTGGGGGATGGGGAGCCAGTGGAGGCGAGCGAGGGTGGGAGTGATGTGGACAAGGAGGCAGAGGGAGCCCTGGTCAAGGTAGAGAGGATGTCGTTTAAACTTTCACAAGCACAGTCTCTGTACTGTGGGTGGAAACCGGAGGGGTTGGTAGAGGGAGTGGGAGAAGAGGTGTGCGCGAAGTTGATTGGCAACAATGGTTCTAGGACTTTTGTGAGGAAGGGCAGGTTAGAAATAGAGTGGTAGTGGCTGGGGTTTGAGAGATCTAGGGAAGGTTTTTTGAGGAAATCCTGGACTTGGGACATCTTCCCGATGTGAAAGGTGCCATGTAAATGTAAATTTATATTGCATTGTATGCTGCTGGAAAAGATCTGAAATCACTTCTAGCAGGAATGAATAGATGTGGAAATCAGTGCTGAAACCAATGGAATGTTATTCAAGATTTGGGAATGCAATTGGCTCTTTAAACACTAAAAAATGTCCATCAAAAGAATGCATCGCCCAAGTATTGTTCAGGACCCGCTTCTGAGCAGAAAGTGATCAATGTGGACCTTTCTTGCCAAAACCATCTCCTCAAGGTGAATTTTTCAGGCGTCTCCCTTGTGATTCATTTCAAGATCAAAGATAGGAATTACTCTGCCTTTGAAGTAATAGTTTTGTAGAAAAAATAAAATTGGTCCTTCACTTCACAGCTGTGGTGGGACGTTGCTGTTGTGAAAATTGGCTGCCATGAACCCCAACCCACATTCCCTTCGCCTCGCTCCCCCACTCCGTTGCCTCCTTCAAGGAACGCCTCAAGAACAACCCACCCCCCCACTGGGTGCTAATCCCTGACTGTCCAGCGCCTTGGGACATCCTCTCGATGTGAAAGGCCCTTTACAAACGTAATTTTCTTGTTCACCCATATGACACACAGTCACCGCACTTTACAGTGTATCCAGTGAAGCACTTTGGGATGTCCTCCGGACATGAAAGATGCTATACGAAGTGTCAGGATTATTATTAATTAGCATCATTAATTCGGTACTTTTTTTCAGTGAAGTACAATAGATATGAAATTACCATGGCCATGTTAAAGAAACCTGCCAAATTAGAGTCAGATTGTGCTTCCCAGAATCTTTTCAAGCATGAATCCGACAGCCATCGCAGAGAGAGCTTTTCTCCAGCCTATCAGTCTGAGGGGTGTTCGTAAACCCAGGCCCAGAGGTTAGAAACAGCTGCTTTACAAGGACTTGACACACATCAAAAAACACACACACCAAAAAAACACACACAAGTTTTGAGAGGAAATCATTCAACTCACATTTGAGAGTGGGTTTGCTGTGTTTTTTACATTGGCTTGACATCGACTGAGAATGCTACATTGGCTCTCCCAAATCTCAACAGTGCCCCTGACCAATTACTGACAGTTCCTGGTGGGAGAACCTTGTGGTGGGATCCAAATCCACATAGAGAATGGCCAATTGGCAGTGCACAGTTGCTTTACAACTCGCAAATCCTTCTCAAACGTCTGTAGGTTTAACTCACATGTTTTTGAAAAATATACAGGCTTGGGTGATTAATAATGCTTTTGAAAAGTACAGTGTTGATTTATAAAAGCTGTTCAACTGTTGAGGGAGTTCTGTGCTCTTTGTGAGTATGTTTCATCATTCTCTTAAAATGCCAGGAACTGCTTGGCTAACACCCCCATGGACCTGTATTATGTAAGGGAGTCTCAAGAAGCACTCACTCAACAAAATGCTCCAGACATATAGAATCGTGCATAAATTCTTCACCACTGACTATGGACATTTGTTAAGTTGTGAAATAGCAGTGAACGCTTTGAAACATCTGCTGGCATTTTGATTCAGTCCAAAATAAGCCTGGTTTGAATAACTTACAATTAAAACACCCAACAGAATATTTAAAACCATCTGGCTTATCAATACCCCAGAGAAGTTAAAACACTTATTAAAAGGAATTAGCCACAGTGCTTTGCTTTCAAGCAGGAGGTTGTGGTTTCAAGCCCCGGGTCGGGACTTCAAACTCAGTGCTGAGGGAACGCTGCATTGTTGGAGGTACCGTTTTCAATTGAGACTTTAACCTGAGGCCCCGCCTATTCAGGTAAACATTAAAGATCCCATGGAACTATTTGAAAAGAGAAAAGAGCTTCTCCCATTGTCCTGGTTAACAATCCCCCAAATTGATTTGGTCATTTACAAGCTTGGTGGTTATTTGTGACACATTGCTGTATGCAAATTGGCTGCCTACAAAATATATTTATAGTATATCTTAACACACTGTATCAAATGCAAAGATGATGATGAGTACCTGCTCTGCTTGTCTGGACTCTCCACACAGATATGTTGGGGTGGGACCGATTTCCAGCGCTCTGCTTCTTTCACCATCGCTTCAGCATCCATTAATCCAAATCCATACAGGTGGCTCACTGTCAATAAAAAAATTCAGCCGTCAGCCACTTCTACAAACCCATTACTTCCACTACAGCATTACGGTACATAGATGCACTCTCCACCTTACCAGTACTGAACCTCGTCTTGTTCCATTCAACTGTCCCACATCCGTGCCTTGACTCATTCAACTTTCCCCGTTTACACAACATTGCCCGCCTCCTCCATTATTTCTCCACTCAGGCTACTGAAACCCTCATCCATGCTTTTATCACAGCAAGGTTTGACTATGCTAACTCCCTGCTCGCTGGACTTCCCAACTCTACTGAGTATTCCTTCCTTTGTCCTGTATGTAACATAACACCAGCTTCATTGTACTACCAGACATCCACAAATGTCCATTGTACCTGGAAACCATTATGGATTTACTTGCACACTGTACACCTTCCAAAATCCTGAGCAGCACATCAACAATATGGTCAGACTTTGGTTTACTCGGTCTGAAGTCATTAACCGTTTGTAGCCTATCTGTATAGGTATGAGTGTATGTCTAAAGAGCATGGAGTGTGTTTGTACGTGTGTGTGAACAAATGGCCAGATATGATATGCATACCTTTAGGGGCAAATAAAGCACAAAACCATGCTGGCCTTAATTTTTACATACCAGCAGGAGCGAAGCAAATAATTTTATCTGATGACAGTGGCATCTTCGAGTTAACCTTGCATTCACAGAGTTCAAGTTACAAGGGAGGTGTATTTTATGAAGACCTATCGAAGTGGAACAAGTCCAACAGTAACAGACTCCAGCTTAATAGTACAGCAGATTTTTAGTATTTTGTGGGTGAAATTACTTTCATAGAATCTTAGAATGTTACGGCAGAGAAGGAGGCCTTTCGGCCCATAGAGTCTGTGCCGGCTCTTTGACAGAGCAACTGACTTTTATTAACCCCACTCACCAGCTTTCTCCCCATAACTCTGCAAACCTGTCTTCTCCAGATACCTATCCACTTTGGAATAAATGGGGTTCAGCTGGCTTGGAGATGTGGGCAGACTTTGGTTTGAACCACTTGCCTCAGTAGGATGCCCTTCAGAAGTGAAATGTGCTATATAAATGTAATTGTTGTTGTTTTGTTAGACAAGTGTAGTCTCTGGCTCATATAGAACAAGGTGTGACGCTACCTTTGTGTATGTCCTGATCTTACTGGCAATTGCCTAGTGGATTTAAATTTATGAACGGAATGCCAAAGAACGAGAGCATTAGTTACTCAAGCCAGAGAAAGGCTTAGTAGCCTAAAACTAAACTTTATCCATTAATTCGGGCAGACTCCATTCTATTCTAACAAGCAGGACTAAAAATTGAGGGAACTGAGTTGGTAGCATACAATTTGGAAAATTGGCCATCAAATGAACTCATGTGCAGGGCCAGTATAGAGGTTTCTCATCCAGAAACACTTAGCCTACAGTTCATTGAGCATCTGGTTCCAATTTTGGAACTGGCAGTTGACTTTCTGAATTAACACGCCTAACCTACGGCTTCCTTAAGTACAAACCACAGGAAGGTATTCCTCAATGTGGGTTCTACTCATTACAACTGCTGGACTCTGCGACCTAAACCAGATGACTCCATCCTTTCCACATTGGCAGTTTTGTTGAAAGATTTTTAATAAAAGGCTGGGATTTATTAAAAAGTCGGGTCACTTGAGACAGAATCCTCCAGCCTTGGCTCCAAATAGCAGCTACAGGTATTTAATACATCATTAACGTTCCATTAACCATGGCAAAACATTTTCATGAGGGCATTAGTTCACATATTGCTGAGGCAGCCTCCATGGTGTGGCAGATAGAGCTGGAGTTTACAGACCAGGTAATGGGTGGTTCAAACCCCAGTCTGTGCTGAGTTTGCTGTCTCAATGGGGTTGTATGGGGAGCCCAAACTAGCTCTGTCTCAAAGGGGAAAACTAGGCTCCCCAGAGACATCCTCTTCAGTTGAGTGGTCTACCAATACTCACAGACCAACAATGACCATTTCACTGGGGTACAGGAGGGCAACCAGTGACTATGGAACCGCTTCTCAGTTCAAGAAAGCTAACCTAAGAGCAGAAGAGCATAGTGAGGAGTAAATCAGAAAAATAGTTGATTATGTTAAATTTGAAAAATGAAAAAAAGACCCTCATTACTGAAGCATGTTACTTGCATGTTATAAAGGTTATTCTCTATGATGGAACCCCCAAGTCAAGTTCATTTGTTACTAGGACTGCACTAGTTCTTAAAGGGTAAGCAACTCGACTGCCAAGCCCAGTCCTCTGAATTTACCTTAGGAATCGAGTTTCAACACTTTCAAAAATATAGTTTTGAAATTTTGTAGCAGAACCTGTAGAACCTTGTGCTGTCCAAGAAAGGCAGCATTAGCCAAGGGATCTCTCTAAAGAATCTCCTGCTTCAGAGGGATCCCTTCCATCTAAATCCCATTGGGCCATGTGGGTTCAGACACTTTTAGATGTCTCCCCAAGTGGTGGGGGTGGGGGGAATATTGCTAAACGAATTTCACAGCATATGGATTACTTTCAGGATTCTAAGTAGATAAGGAAAAGGAATTCAATGGGAGATATGAATTGGATGAAGCAATCACTGATAAGTATTTCATGCCTGAAGCATTACCCTGCAAGAATTCATAACTGTCTGAGAATGGGATTTGAGGTTACAAGGATACAATTTCAGTCTATACTCATGAGAAAATATGTTTTCAGTGTTGCTAGTGTGCACAGGGGGAAAGAAACAGGCCAAGGTTGAAAAGTGCAGATACAAGATGGATGAACTGGAATTTTATTTGATAACTGTTAGGAGATGAGGGAATATGGATGTACATAAAGATCCAGGAAAATACAATGGGTTTGAGTTAATGAGGTAGGGTCTGTGGAAGGACTAAACTTGATGCCCTAACTGGCTTTTCCTTTTTCATGTTGGCTATATGATCAGAGTGAAGAAATGGATTTTCAGACCTCAAAAGACTTAAAAAAAAGGAATCAGTTTTAAAACTTGATACAAGCCAATTGAAACCTTTTGGAAATTAGTAAAATGCAAGTATCAGCATTAATAATACATCAGCAGCAGCACAGATCAACAGACACACATAGCATGATGTCCAAGTGGCTTTCTCACATTACTCTCCGGCTGGCACAAAATACAAAATCCCTTGTTGCACAAACATTCATATGTTCCACAGCAGAGTTTGCCTGTAGTCAAACATGAAATATTGCCTCCAAAGGAGAATGTACCCCACTTTCCTATGTCCAGACACACTCAGCCCATCTAGCTATGAAACGGCAGAAGCCAAGGCATTAGGTTCTATGGGAATTTAACCATTTTAAACAATGCAACTAACTAGTGCAAGGCATTGGTAAACTTCCTTGCTCGGAACCCTTAGTGGCAGTGTGTAATGAGTCAGGAAGATTAGTTAGTCAGCAATAGCGCTTCAGCAGTACTGTAGCTACTTAGCACCAAACAGGGTGGAAAGTGGGACCAACTGATTTTGTCTAAGGAAGCCCATACATTAAAGAGACCTCAAAGAGTTAACAAGCAGTTTTAAAAAAGGCTTAAACAAGTTAATTGAAAAGTTTTGCAAATCAGTAATTAAAATGCAAATGTCAGGAATAATAACATATTATTATAGGTGTTGCAGTCTCCTCGTGGCATAATGTCTGAATGTTTTTCTCACATGAAACAACCATCAACTGAGACTAAACATACAGCATCAAACACCAACGTTACCATGGGAAAGGCTTCCCAGACAGCTGATATTTGGCTGTCTGAGAGGAAAGGACTTCAAAGGTCTCGCTTATAGGGGTTTAGCCTCCAGCTGCAGGTACACACAGACAGGCCTTCATTTCCGAAAAAAATAATAACTGTTTGGTAGGAAATTTCAAAGCTACAAGATTCTTTCTTACAGTTGCATAGTTTGGGGTCTAGCATCATACTCCTTTATTCTTTTTGAGGACTCGGCATGCACAACAGTGCATCATGCCCCAAAGAAGACTGCAGCCTCCCATAAACAGCATGCCTGGCGTCCTGCATCACGCAATTCCTGTTCCACAGGTGAACCAGACCAAACTCAGGGATCCATCACGTTTGTCAGGTTCAAAAGTGAACAGAACAAAATAACATAACATTAGCACGTCGGGTCCATAATCACACTTAAAGGTGTTGCAACTTGTTATATGAAGCTTCATGTTCACACAAAGTGAATCTTAGCCCTTAGCCCGTCCTTGTGCAGGTGGTCGTCAAAATTCCCGCAACACTATCAGGGGGATAAGAGAAGGGAGTTTCTTCCAGTGTCCTCACTGAAAAATTCCTAGATAAGATTGTTCATTCAATACATGGTGTTTTGGGAACATTACTAACTTGACTGCCGTGTTTGCCTACAAAATACATAGCCACTACACTTTACAGCAAATCCCGTGAAATGCTGTAAGATATCTTTCTGACTTGAAAGGTGCTATACAAAAAAGCAAGAATTATCATTATTATTAAGTAAAACTCCTCTTGAAATATTCAGTATCTGATAGAGCCTTCTATTGCTTTATAATTTGACTTGACTCAGAGGGCAACTGTAAAAATCACGTAGGATGCTACTCATTGGATTTTAAAAATTCTGTACATTACTTAATACATGTGGAATGGTAATATTCAGTGCTATGTGTAAGGCATGACGGTTACTAGTTAGGGGTGGCTTTTTACGAATGATGAATTGTATTAGAGTGTGAGAACATGAACGTTGCACCATCTGGCATCACACAAGTGTCAGGGGAAATGAGGGTCAGTTACTTGGTATCAAACCACCGATGGCTTCAGAGAGGTTGGGACCAAGGTTTGCTAATTTGTTCATCAAAAACATTTAGCAACCAAGGATTCAGGACTGGGACACTGCAGTCATACCCCTCGTGGGAATCAGAAAATAAGCACTGGGGAAGGATAAAAATTAAAGTGACATTTGTAAGTGCTGCAGTGACTTCTACTAGGATGAAGTAAATCTTTTCAATCTCTGACCTAAATGTACCAGATTACAGTCGACTCAACTTTCCAATTTGATTTCATTGAGAAGATGACAGACCCTGCTCTTTACACTTTTCCAGAATTACACATTGGACACAAAAATAATCAAGGATTTTACAAAAAAAACTAAATATGTTATAAGACATATTTCTACACTTTTATCATCAATGATGATGTTTTTTCCAACAAAAATATAATTTCCTCTACGTTGAAGTATTAATTATAAAACTTGGCACACAACAAAAAAGAAATCAGCTCCCAAGCATTGTGTTCTAACAAAGGTGATGTGTGAAAATACTCTAAAGGGGGAACAGCGAGTGGGGAAAGAACTTGGTGACTACTCGGTCATACAGACCAGAAAGTCACAAGTTTGAATCTCAGTCTGTACTGGGGTCACTGATTTCAGCCAGAGCAGCAATTGAGGTACTAAAATTAGCCTCAGTGGCCTAGGTTAGGAAAAGGGAAAGAAATATCAGTCAGGGATGCTCACCTGAGGCTTATCCTGCTGAAAAGAGGGGAAAAGAAAAAAATAACTGTACTGGAGTATTCAAAATGTTAAAACATTTCCTGCGTGTAACTCAAATTATAAAATATAAAATTGGAGCTGGCTGGTACCAAATGGCATAATACCTTATAACACTGAAGGTGATAGAATAATGAGCCACAATCATGACAGATTGTGTTTGCATAGAATATGACCTTCATTAATGCACTCATTTTATGTTGCTAGGCTTTGCCACATGTTATTGCAGTCACTAAGCAATAGGTACTCTTCTACAAGTCACGCTTGGCAACAGATTGTTAGAATCAAGTCAATCCTTTGTGGCAGTCATAATAGTTTGGTTCCTGTGCCAGATGAGTCCACATTACTCCAGGGCATTGCTGATGACAGACCAACCAGCCAGACTCATTGACAGGACTTAAAGGGGCAGACCAATCACTTCCCCATTCAACTCCTGTTAACCCTGCAAGTCAAACCTCCAACAGTAGGGTGGTTCCAGTTGGATAAGCACCAGGAAGCTTGCCAGACAATGCTCTTAATGGCACGCTATGCAATTTTAACTCCAGCTGTACCCAACAGACAATCTGGAGTCCCCAAGCCTTGGCTATTGCCACCCTGAGCCCAATACTCTCTTGATTAAGAAAGTACAATGCATCCTCCAAGGAAATAATGTATTTTGCATTCCAAACACAAGGGGATCTCCAAGTTTAGTGACAATACACATGTGAAACTCTGTCTGGTTGGGATACTCTAAAGCATGGGGATGTCAGACACCAAGTTGACCAAAATAAAGTCCAGTTCTAGATGACTGGGAGTTGACTGTGGACTGATTTGTTCCTTCTTCCTGTGTCAGCATTTATGTCATGCAGAACAGTTGAGATATATGCACTGCTTGATTTGTGTCAAATAACAGTGAGTGAACTCAATGGTACCTTGTGTTACAAACAGCTACTTCACTTCTGTGTGGATTCCAGACAAAAAGGATGGATTAATGTCCTGGATGGGTTTTTGTTCAGTCTCTTGTGAGCACAAAGCTAAGCAGAAATGCTGAAAGCCTGATCAGCTGATGGTTGGGCAAGTGGGAGTGGGGAGGTAGGTACTGTATGAAACCTTGAGCATTGAAATGAGCATTCAAATGAAGAGTAGCTATTTTAAAAATTATTAGCATTTGACATGACGATATCTCACCTCTGTATCCAGCAGCATTCGTCTTCCAGTCTGGGGCATTCAGATGTCCAGAACGCGATGTCCTCACAATAATATGCTGCACGTCCCTCCAACTGAGGTTAGGGCTGGAAGGAGAACAAGAAAAAAAAGCATTTAGACAAGCGGAACACAATTACAAAGAGAAACAAAAAGTCTAAAGCCAAAAGTTCCACTCTGAACTTGAGTAAAATTTCTGAGTGGAATATGCAATACAATGAGGTCCATTCGCTTCATTCACTTAAAAGAAAAAGTGCACACAGAAAAAAACTTCAGGAAACATTAATAAATAACCCCCACTTGCTCCAATTACTTCTTTTTATCTCTATTTAATTGACTGCCTTGGATACCTTAAATGTACTTGAGAAGGAAAACGACCCACAATTGGTCTCTGGAGACCACTGTTGCTGCCTATTAGTGATTAGTCACTGCCAAGTTAAATTCCCCTTAAAGGAGGCTGGGCCGCTGAATGATAAAGAAAGCTTTCCCTAATCGCACAATATATTTTTGCAATGGGCCCACAAGTTGTTAAGACATTCCACACATCTCTTGGTTTGTTGATAATAACCACTTGCATTACTGACCACCACAAAGTACCTGGAGGATCAGTTAGCTTAATGTTATTGTCCGGTGCAGATGTGAATCCACAGGCTTGTTTTTTCTTAAAAATATATAGCCTCCTCCTGTTACTGGAACATCTGAGATAGAGAACACCAAGAACTTCAAAACAACTTTATGGAGCTTTTTCCAGCTGATCCCTACAGGGTGCATTTCAGATGGTTTTAATGCTGAAGACATACTTCAGTTAATCCCCGCGGGTTCTGAGAACAGTCCTGCAAACTATCCCTCCCCGTCAATAGTAATGACTGGAAGTGTAATGTGCATCCACAAACCAGGCTAGACACACGTGTCTCAATGCAGCCCATATGTCCAGGAAGTTAAGGTCACCTCCTGAGGTAATACCAGCTTTCTGTAAACAAGGTCAAATGGCCTTATTTTACAGAGAACAGCAGTGTACCCTGCACTGGGACGACATTTGTCAAATTCTCACTTCAGTTTAATTTACTTGCACTGTGCTTCCAAAAAGAAGTCATTTCACATGCTAGCCTGAAATATCTGGGCTGAAACATAGGCAACAACAACAAATTGCATTTATATAGTGCCTTTCACATCGAGAGGACGCCCCAAGCCACTGAGGTTCAGAAGAGAACAAAGATTGGAAAACCTGTAGTTTTGCAGTAGGCTTAATTAATTCTGTCAAACAATGCCTTCAAAATATAGCTGGGTCAGTAACAGCTGAAAAGGGAATGAAGTAGCAACACCTCTCTTTGATCATTTGATACAGCACAGAAGGAGGCCATTCGGTCCATCTTTGAAAAGAGCTATCCAATTCAATCCCACTCCCCCGCGCTCTCCCCATAGCCCTACAAACTTGTTCTCCTCAAATAATTATCTACTTCTCTCTTAAAAGTTGTTTTTGAATTGGCTTCCGCCCTTTATAATAATAATAATAATCCTTGCATTTGATATAGCGCTTTTCACGTCGGGAGGACGTCCCAAAGCGCTTCACAGAACACACTGTAAAGTGAATTGACTGTATATTTGTGGGCGAACGCGGCAGCCAATTGCGCACAACAATGTCCCACAAACAGTCATAGATTGAAAATGACCAATTTATTATTGTTTTTGGTTTTTTGGAGGGATTATTATTAGGCGTGTGGAGTAAGGAAACTTGCCCAAGGTTTCGCCCTGCCTGGAATTGAACTCAGGTCTCTCGCTTGCAAAGCGAGTGCTCTAACCACTGAGCTGCAGGACTCCACAGTCAATGCATTCAGGCAATGCATTCTGTTTCTTTTAACAACTATTTTATATTTTTATAAAGAACGATTTAACTTTGTGCTACCTACCATGCAGACTCTGGGCACTCAATTCCAAAGTTCAAGCATTGCTCATTCCTAGAGCATTAGGATGGAATCATAAATATGTTTCCCTGAAATGTTCGAGATGATCCCTGATCATTTTAGAAAAGGCGTAAAAACTGAGCTTCAATGTTGCAATCTGAAGCACAGTTAACCTCCATCACAATCTGATACATTAGTTATTCAAATTATAATGAAGACAACAACAACAAAATTACATTTGTACAACGCCTTTCACATCAGGAGGATGCCCCAAGGCGCTGGACAATCAGTGTTTCGGACCTGAGCTGGAGGTAGGAATCGGGGAGGGTGGAGGGCAGGAGGGAAAGGAAGGTGATCGACGGCACATTCGAAGAAGAGGGTCTTGAGATGGATCTTGAAGGAGACAAAGAAGGGGGAAAGGTGGAGGGACTGCAGGATAGAGTTCCGGGGGGGCTGGGAGGGGTGCAGAGTCACTGAAGGCACGCCCACCAATGCCCGTCTGCAAGGCCATGGACAACTTTGAAGGTGAGGGCCAGGATCTTGAATTGTGTCCTCTGTGTGATGAGAAGCCAGTGGAGTTGGGTGAAGATGGCGGTGATAGGGTCGCGGAGCCTGGTGTGGGAGGGAACACAGGCTGCAGAGTTCTGGATGATCTGCAACCTATGGAGGGAGGCCGACAAGCAGGGTGTTTGCATAGTCGAGCCTGGATATTATGAAGGCGTGTATAAGGGTCTTGGCGGCCTGAGGACTGAGACAGTAGTGGAGCCGAGCGATGTTGCGGAGGTGAGGAATGGCGGAGCAGGTCACGGCACGGATGTGGTGGGGTATGAAGGACATTTGAGGGTCGAACAGGATACCGAGGTTCCTTATTGGCTCCACGAGATGTAGAGTACATCCATGGAGGGAGATGCTGTCAGCGCCCGAGGGAGGCGCTGATGGGAACCAAGGGCCTCGGACTTGTGGAGTCCTTTAGCTCAGTGGTTAGAGCACTCGCTTTGCAAGCGAGAGACCTGAGTTCAATTCCAGGCAGGGCGAAACCTTGGGCAAGTGGTTTCCTTACTCCACACGCCTAATAATAATCCTTCCAAAAAAACAAAACCATAATAAATTGGTAATTTTCAATCCATGACTGTTTGTGGGACATTGCTGTGCGCAATTGGCTGCCGTGTTCGCCCACAAATATACAGTCAATTCACTTTACAGTATATTATGTGAAGCGCTTTGGGACGTCTAGAAGACGTGAAAAGCGCTATATCAAATGCAAGGATTATTATTATTATTATTACTTGTTGACATTCAACTGCAGGAAGTTAGCTCTCATTCCAGAGTCCCAAAGAGAGTCTGAAACACCACACATATTGCTCAATGCACTGCACAAATGAATCAGATCCCTGCCATTGCACAGACCACATAGAAGACCACATTGCACATACAGCACATTTAATAAATATAACAATAGGGTGAATGAAAGTGGTGAATGAAAGCAGCACATTGGTGATCTTATTCCTTCACTGAAAACTCCCGGACTTTGTCAGACTATTTGTGTCAGGAAAGGAAACAATGAAATTGATAACAGCTATACATGGTTTTACTTATGCACGGAAAGCAGGTCATCTCTCTAGTTTCTTTGCCCTCATAGCATCATTGCTCCCGCTTCCCTGAGTGAAGCATATCTTTGTTGATGCCTTGTTGATGAATAATAATCGGTCACTCACCTCATGTTTATTTATAGGACTTTACTGAACATTACCATGTTTGTCTACAAAAAGTCACCACATTCGTCACTTGTACCAATGAAGTGCACTAAGATATTTGGATACAAAAAGGTGCTATTGATTTAGAATTTTCGAATGGGGGTGGGAGAGTGGAAGAATATAAATCTTTCACAATTATTAAGGAATCCAGGGAGCGAGTGGCACCAACTAATGATTCCTGGGCAGGGGTGGGTGGGTGGTGGTAGGGGTGTGGAAAAAGGGGGTAAAAATGGTCTCTTTGAGGCTGAAGTGCCTTCAAGACAACAATCTTGGCAACGGATAATCAAGTCACACTCTGGCGTGATCTTAGTCCAGACCTACAGTACTCAGCAAAATTGTTGGGACAGCTCTAGCTGGCTAATTGGTAGGGACTTGGAGGGGCTCCCATTAACTCTGCAAGCCAACCCCCTAAACAGATAGAATGGTTCTTGCTCAAAAAGTGGCAGAAATCTGACCAGTGTTCACAATGCAATTTTTGCTGGATAGACTCCAGGAGTTTGCCAGTGCCCCCTCTGGGGACCTTCATGCCTTGGCTCTTGCCAACAAGCACCTAAACTCTCCAAGATTAAGTTAGTGCATCCTTTCAGGGAGTGCATCCTTTCAGGGAGAGTATCCTTGCAAGATAGAAGCCATACTCTTTGGCTCCCGTCAACGCCTTCTCTCCTGCAGGTCTGAACTCCTCAACCTCCCCGGGCACTCCCTCAGCCTCTCCAAACTCATGCACAACTTAGGCAACAGGTTCGATCCCTAGCTTTTCTTTCTACCACACATCTGTTCCCTGACCAGGATGCTTTTTTCCACCTCCGCCACATTGTCCGCCTCTGTCCATACTTTACAACTGACGCAGCTGAAACCCTTGCCCATGCCTTTGTCACTTTCCGGCTGGACTATTCTAATGCCCTCCTTTCTGGTCTCCCCATCTCCGCCATACACAAAACCCAATTAATTCAAAACTCCTCCACCCAGACACTCACCCATACGAAACTCTGTACTCCCACCTCACCAGTCCTTGCCAGGCTCCATTAGCTCCCAAGCACTGAACGGATTGACTTCAAAATCCTCTCACTCGTTTTCAAATCACTTAATTCCCTCGCATCTCCCTACCTATCCGACCTGCTTACCCCCCACTCAGCCACCCGCTGCCTCTGCTCGGCTGGCTCCAGCCTCCTAATTTTCCCTTGTGCCCTTCTCTCCACCATCGGTAGCTGTGCCTTCAGCCACTACACCCCGAAACTCTGAACTTTCTCCCTTAATGCCTCCGGCTTACCCCTCCCACCGCACCTTCAAATGCTACCTAAAGACCTGCCTTTTTGATCGGTCACCTCCTCACTCCCTCTCCCCTTGGGGCGTTGCCAGGCTCTGCCACTGTGAAGTGCTCCAGGACACTACCCCGCGTGAAGTGCGCTATATAAATTCAAGCTGTTTTTGTTGAGT